TCTCCATTGAAGTGCTTGGACTGCCGAGAACAACTCAGTCGGCAGCGGTGGTCGGCGTTGGAGAGGATGTGGTAGGCGGGAGATGATGCGAGCGCCGCCGACAGGGAAGGTGGAGAATATAGCAGAATCGCACCAGATCCGCCGCCATTCTCCCATAGCCGCCGTCGCCGACGCAGTCCCCCGCCCAGCGCCGCCGCTGCTCCTCGCACAGACAGCAACACATCACCACTCATACCACCGCCATCTCGCGCGGACACCTCCGCCACTTAAACGACAAGAGCTTCGATGAGATCCGCCGCCTCGACACCGGTGCGTCCAGCTGAGGCCTACAAAGAAGAAGGTCGGTCGTCGACGACGTCATCTTCATCTGAGATATCGCCGCCGTATGGACTGTGTGTAGACTGTGTGTGTGCGTGTGTGTGTGTGTGTGACTGTGTGTGCAGCGAGGGTGAGTGTGTGGGTCGGGTGATTGTGTGAGAGAAAGTGAAGAGTAGTAGTGGTTGGGGTGGGTCCACCATGTGATTAAGATTTGACCAAAATACCCTTAATAAGTGGTCAATTGTATATATTTGACCACAACATGACCATTTAATTACAAGATTACCATAGTTTGTTTGGCTGACATTAATAAAAGTTGACTTCATCATGACCATTGGATTAATGAATCCAATGATCTAGAATCATTCTTATTTCTCATTCTTATTCTTAATATATATATATATTAAGGATAAAAAGGTAAAACTACATAGAAATGTATTAGAGTAATTAAAAGAAGAATGTTGATAAAGTGAAAGGAAGACGCAACTCTGCTAGGTCGTAAGGTTGATCAACTAGCAACCGCTGAAAGAGGTAAACGACATCAGGATTGAACGCTTATTTTATCAGTTGCTGCCTTTTTTAAACATGGTATTAGTGATCGATAAAGGTTTCTCTACAAAGTACATAAATAAGAAATGACATAGATTTAGCTCACTAAGGTTCACAGACAAATGATAAAGTAGACAGCAATAAATGCAGAGAAAAGACCAAGAAAAAACATTTTCTGTTAAGCTCACCCTTAATCCACACAATATAAGACATTAAGAACAACAAAAACCAGACACTCTTCAAAGTTCAAAGTACCCTGTCTGCATAACGAATTCAATTAATATAAGAATTTACCTTCAGGACAACACAAACCACAATAAATGTGAAGAGTTCGACCCAACACTATTTATACCCACAACAATATGATCCTGGATGCTTTACCACCAAACTCATAGTCGAGCTTCTTGATCTCAAGCTGCTGCTGTTGCTGCTTAAACCTGAATTCATGCTGCTGTGAAATCAGACACTAACCAGCTCCTAAACGAGAAATTACCACTCGCAATCTCCTAAACCATTTCATTTTAGGCCGTCTTTTTGTTTTTCCTTTTATTTTTCCATTTAAATCTTTTTGTTCCCACATAAACAAAAGAGGAAATGTGGCTACTTTCACTCCTCAACAACATTGACTAATTCATACTCAACAAGAGAGAGATTATTATCTTCTTTGACGGTGAAGCTAGCGGGCTCAGTCACTTCTACACGACCCCATTTGTCCACAGCAAGCCTCATGGATCCTTTGTACATGTCGATTTTGGCATTTCGAAGAATTACAGTAGTCTCGGGTTTCATCATCTCCACTGCACATTCAAAATCAAGTAAAGCTCAAGTTAAAACAAAAATCAAATAAATCTATTAACAAAGTTATATTTAAAAAAAAAAATATTAATCACTTGAATTTAAATGGAATAGGAAAGTGGAATATCATGACTGACACGGATCTAAACACACTATCAACTCGGTTGGTTTTGCAAGTCTAATTAAACATAATAACCAGTGATGGACCCAAAGATTTCACCCAATTCATAATGATTGGTGCTATAAACAATTACCTAAGAGGTAAATGAGATTTCACATTTTTGTAATCAATGTGAACATCTAAAATGTATAAATAGATTTTTGTTTTTTCTGGTTGAGAAAATTAGTTCAATTGATTTTGTCGAGCCCATTACATTCATATTTTGGTGACTTTAGTTAAAAACCAATGTTCTAAAAATCGAGCCATGCGCTCGCATAGATGCTAGGAGGCACCTGGGAGCCACGATTTTTTCCCAGATGGCCCTACTGGGAAATTTGGCTGACTAAGCATCATCTAGAGAGCTAAGCGGGCCTGGGAAATTAGTCACATCTAGTCACATCAGCTGCAAAGATAGTTATGCCTAAATTGCTGCTTTTATTTTTTTTTTATTTTTTTTTCAAATTATAACAAAATGGTTTTTTATTGTTATACATAAAATATACATTAATCTTAGAATTTTAAAAATAATAATTATACAACAATTAAAATAATAGTTAAAAATATATTACATTTTAGATAATCTTTGTATTAACCATATTTATTAGTATATTTTACATTGGTAGATTATGTTTGAAAATAAATATATACAAATTTATCAAAAATTTTACGACCCTGTCTAGGCGAGCCCCAGCCACCCACCCCACCTAGCAAGTGCCAATCAAAT